CTCTAACATCAACAGAAACTAGTGTTTTATCAAAGGTATATCACCTTGTAACTACAGAAAGCGTCGTGATAGATCTCAATAATGTTAGATCCGTTATGACTTGATGTGGCTAACATTACAACCTTTAAAAAAATTGAGAAAAATTTCACGTTGACTGACAGTAAGCACTTTTTTAACCTAAATTGAACAATTAAATTGGAAAAAAAAATATCGATTTATTACGAATTAGATTAACGGACAGAAAGTTCGCTAAATATTGTTAGGTCCACCATTTGTACTGCCAAAAACTTTTTTTTATAGAATAGGGGTGACAAACGAGCACACAGTCCACCTGATGGTAAGTGGTTGCTGTGGCCCAGACATCTACATCTATCTTTGTTTCCGAATTAAAAAGCAGATGTGTTGTCAGCCGTGAGGACTGAGATAGAATGCCTCTTTTCCAGTAAAATGGGTGTCCGGTTCTTTACACTCACCATACAAAACACAACAGCATCAAGTTGCTATTTTACACTGGTATTCTGTGAGAGCGTGGTCCTTCCCCGGTCAAGCCGACCCATTCGTGCTACAACTATACTATTAATATAGCTGCAGCATGGCTCCACGTAAAGCACTTATGTGCTTATGCCCTTACTTTAGGTATACCTTAACAATTAAACAGAAGGTTGTTGTCTTAGCATTATTTCTACTAACAGAATCATACTATTGTTTGTACAAAATCTGAATCTATTTATAAATCCATCCAATAATATTCGATTCACTGACTGATTTATAATAATAATATATATAATAATGTTTACTTTATTTGCTCTCACAAGTTTACATTGCCTTTTAATAATATTGGAGGTATAACCATTTTAATTTGTGAGAGCCTGGTGTTAGTACTAGGAAATAGCTGTATGACTAATCACCAGACTCTCGTCCCTTAATGTAACATTTATCAACATACCTTTAACTTTAGTACACTTCGTGCGACAATATGATTTGCAATTGCAATTTCTGTAATTAAATATCTATTAGTTGTACCTATATTTTTTTTGTTTTGTTACCTGATTTAAAATATATTATATCGTCGCCAGTTTTAGCAAGCAAGGTCATTCATTTCTGTTTATATAACGTAACGCGATTAATGTCTTAACGTTTATGCGATAAAACAAAAATCATAGATACTGGATAGCCTCAATATATTAGGATGATCTATAAACAATGACTTTTAGGTTTCATTCATACAAAGTATTGATCCGAATCCAAGATTCATAATAGGAATATGACCATTGAGTCATAAAGTCACCATAATCATCAAAGTGAATAGATTGTTTATTTTAATCAATACTGCTCAGTCAAAAAATTACTTACAATTATTAAATATAACACACAATTTTCGTTTAATTAGTAAAACTTATTGTGTCAATTTCAAAATGAGCATACAACACACATCATACGCCATTTACGTTTTTCTAGGCTACGAAACACTTATTATAGGCGCTTTCCGTTACAGCCTTCAATACAACCAATTTTGTTTAATACAATCTATTGACTCGAATAGGTACCACGGAGTGGCAATTTGAGTTACGAAAACAAAAGAAGTCTACCTGGGCCAACAAAGGATGGATGATGGAGCAATTGTATTTGTCACGTTTTTGGCCTTAAATTGGGTTACAACTGCTTTATGCGATGTTATATTATTGTCTTGCAAAATGCACTACGTGTTCCGCAGGTTTATCCATTTTCATTTTTTTTTTACAAAAACGCTTCAATACGGCCAACAATATTATTTATTAACCGTTTGTCTTTCCGGGACAAACTAATGAAAGACCAAAAGACGAATATTGAAACAAGAAATGAACATCACCTTGATTTTGGAGTATGTTTGACGAGTTTTTTTCGCTTATGGTTTGTTTTTTCCTCTCCATTCTGCCGCCAGTTGACTTCCTTGTTTTCACGTCAAATTCGAAGACCTATGTTTCATTGGCAGTAATGCGATCCATAAACGTGGGATCAGCATTGAAGCGATCTAGCATATCTAAAGAGGTCTGTTTTTACTAAAAATAGCTAAAATATTCTTCAAAAATAACTGATGAATATTCAGTTTTTTCGCGTCTCAAATTCAATATGATGTTTTCTATATCTTAAGGTCACTTGTTATCTCCATTAAGCTGAAGTAGCGATTATTGAGCAAAATTTTCTTCATTTTATCGATATTTTCTTCTGTTGAAGAGGTTGAGGGTCGTTCGGAGCAAGGGCTGTCTTCGATGGTCTCTCGGACCTCCTTGAACGCTTTGTATTACTCGTAGGTCCATGTTTACGTCAACACTGATTCAAAATAAGCCTTTTTTTTAACGTTTCCGTTCGCAACACAAAATTTGATGCAAAAGTTTTGTTTAAAATTTTAATTCCTTGTAAAAATCGAGACGTAGTTGTTCATGTGCTCAATAAAATATCGTAAAAAATATTTCCAAGACACTTGAAATCTGCCAACATGCATTGGAGCTACGCGACGGATTAATTGCTTGATAACCCTTTCAGAAATACAAAACGTATAAAATACGTACGTACGGACGTATAAAATCTGTAACATTAACTTTATAATTTTTATGGATCGGCTCGACCGGGAAAGGACCACGCTCTCACAGAATACTAGCGTAAAATAGCAGCTCAATGCTGCTGTGTTTCGTATGCTATATGGCTACGGGCTACAGCATTCATGTACCATCAGGTGGACTGTGTGCTCGTTTGTCATCCTATTCTATATAAAAATCTAAAATTGTGACGCGATAAGATGTACTGTTTCAACTCGCTTCTGTAAACAAAATGTTGGACAGGACGCGTTCGTTTTAGATTTAATTATCAAAGCCTGCGCTATCACCTTCCTGGTACTTTTTCATAGAAATAGTGTATATATTTTTTAGTTTGAGAGGTTGAGCTGCAAATGTATTAATTTAAAAATAGATCTGTAGCATAAAAACAGATTTTTATTTTTACAAGTCACAAATCGCTCATCTTCATCTTACTCATTCGCACGTAAACAGTATATTGCTTGACATAAAGCCTTTCCTATAGAGGGAAAAATTTGCCGAAATCGCTACGCTTAGCTGTCGAAATTGACGATCATATTACTAAGTATCTTTCACCTTACAGACTGCTTTCCGTCCTTGGTCTGAAAATTTTACATTTGGCAAATACGATATGGTTACATATTTCCCTGCGGCACTCGTGGAAAGATATCTCGTTACGCCTCTTTTAATCTTGAGTGCTTTTGTTATTTTTCTTTACGCGAAATAAATAAATAAATAACTTATTTAAACTTTTTTTTCCTTTTTTGTCAGCCCGTAAAAGTATACAGCTGTGGACGTGTAATAAAAGTACCTAAAATATAGTTTAAAAGCATAATTACCTACAATGAAGAATTTTTTTTAAACTTTTCCTTGCATTTCATTAACTTGACATTGATTTAGGACAAGTTTAAGATATTTTGAAAGACTTTCACAACATAGATTTGTTTTGAATTGTCCAATATATATTTCTATTTGATATTATTGCCTTAGTCCACTTTGAGATTGTGAGTAAGTAAGAGGAGAATAAAAGACAGATTTTACTTATTATGGTAATTCTTAAAATTGGATTGGCAAATAATGTGTGTGTGTTAAGATACGAGTAATTAAAAATTAGTATTTGAAACAACATTTTCTAGTAAATATAATAATTATAAAGATATAAAAATGTGCAGATGGCATTTCTGAACACTATTTAAAAAAATATTATTGAATTTTTTTACCGTTCAAAGGCAGAGTTGTCTCTTGGGCACTCAGCAATAATGAAATAGTAAAAATGCTGTGAAAAGTATTTAAAGTGCTCTTCATTTTCAATAGTCCATTTTTTAAAATACTTTATCTTTTTTAATATTATTTAATGTGAATAAAATGGTCGATTTCTCTATCTCTCCACAGATTTATTATTATAAGTTTTTTTTCAACAGATAGATTAGATAACAGATAGAAGTGCATACTCTTCCTCTTTTTTATGAGCCCTTATCATCTTGCTGAAGATGGGCAACAGATATCCCTTTCTTTGAAATGTGCATTGCAGTGGTAGCTTAAAAGAATACAATACCTCTTAACATTCCGTAGGTATCATAAGTGGTGACAAAAGAAAATCAAACAGGATATGGGCAGTAGCATCTTCCTGATAGGAGCAAAATAACAATAAAAACTGCGGCTGCCAAACCGCTCGACAAGCATGCCACCAATAGCAACTACACGGTATTTGATAACAAGTTTGTACAACCAGTACGTATTGCCAGTTATGACTTATGGATCTGAGATATGGTCCTTCATTGCTAGTCATATGACAAAGCTCAAGGTCGCTCAGCTAGCTATGGAGAGGGCTATTCTTGGGATTTCTTTGCGTGATAAACTTAGAAAGGAGAATTTCCGTAGTAGAGCCAGAGAGTAACAGACATAGCCTAACGGATTAGTAAGCTTTAGTGGTAATGGGCCGGCCATGTAGTTCGAAGAACCGACAACCAATAGGTAAGAAAGGTTCTCGAGTGGTAGCAGTGTGTGTGTAGTAGTAGCAGGGGTTCAGCAGTGGACTTGTGAAGGGATGTAAAGATGATGAATACGCCATGTATTGGGGGATTTGACTGCTTCTAATAGTCGTGAGTTACGACAACCTCGGGACGGAATTGAGTGATGGGTTCTTTTACGCATAATACATTATAATAGTATAGCAGAAAAAAGTTTTCGTCAAAGTGTTTTTTTTTTATTAAAAGTGTAATTATGCACATCATTTTATTTTTATATTAAAATTCATTGATTGCTATAAACAATTACAAGGAATAAACGTTGATTGCTACTACATAAAATAATTATAAGGTCCACGTATCCTTTTACTGTGGCATTGATATGGTATATCAATGTCAGTCAAGTATAGATTTTATACAGATATAAAACATGCACGTCTGTCAAGTTTCACAGTTAATTTTGCGGCATCATTGTGTAAAGATGTACTTTGAACATAAAGTAATCGTGGTAACAGGTGCAAGCGCTGGTATTGGCGCTGATGCCGCCATTTTGTTTGCTAAACAGTCAGCTAAGGTTGTACTTGTTGGAAGAAATGAAGGTGCTTTAATCAATGTGGCAAAAAAATGCGAAGAAGCTAAAGGTCTCAAACCACTTATTGTCAAAGCCGAATTAACTAACGATAATGATGTGAGAAATATTGTTACAAAGACGATTGAAAATTTCGGACATATTGACGTTCTCGTAAATAATGCTGGTGTTGGGATTAAGGGCGGTATTTGTGATGGTGTTGATTTGTATGATCGTGCCATGGCAACTAATGTTCGTGCAATATATCTGTTAACGAGTCTCGCTACTCCTTATCTTGTACAATCAAAAGGAAATATTGTCAACGTTTCTAGTATTGCAGCCTTTAAACCAATCAGAGATATTGAATTCTTACCGTATTGTATATCAAAAGCTGCCCTAGATCAGTTCACAAGATGCGTTGCTTTGGAACTGGGCAGAGAAGGTGTTCGTGTTAATTCCGTTAGTCCTGGTTGTACAAAGACTAGTTTTCTGGAATCTGCTGGCTATACTAAGGAACAAGCAGAAGAATTGTACAAATACCGTGATACATGTATTCCACTTCGAAAAGTAGCGAAAAGCAAAGAGGTGGCAGATCTTATTCTATACCTCGCGAGCGATCGCGCCTCTAGTATCACAGGTGCCATTTTTGTTATTGATAACGGCGAAAACTTAATGTAAACTAATCTTTTATATTATATTTAAAATACGAAGTTCAATGCGATGGGATTCAAATAATATTTGAAGTTACAATGGGTATGGCATCTTTACTATTATTTGTAAATAAAATTAAATACAATTATCTTTTAAGCTTCTCTACTTATTTTTTTTAATTATCATAAGTATTTTACATTGAAATAAGATTATCTTTGTTACACCGCACATTTTCCAATAATTGTAAGTTTGGTAAGTTTTAGAATTAATGAAAAATGTAAACAACATAAACAAGAACGTGAGAGTCAAACGGCAAGGAAAATAGTAACACTCATAAACAGGTCAATGCGTAAGTCTGAGCTTTAGCAATATAGTTTTTGTAACCCTGGTCATAACTCTTTATTTTGCTTGCTGCAAATATATTCGTGTACAAAAGAAACAACAATGTACGGCGTAATCATACGAACAATCTTCCCAAGAATATTGAAATGGACGAGACAGCTAAGGCTTCATGTTAACATACGGGAAACATAAATCCACAATAAACTACACTTGGGTGTAATTTTTACGCAATAGTGTCTGTGCTTAAATTATGTAATTTCTAATGTGAAAGAAAAATACCAGATAACAATTAATTTTAATTTTAGGTTACTTTTGAACGACTAGGAAATGCTCAAAAGATCTTATATATTCTAATAGATGGTCGTATATTCATTGCGATTACGCTAATCATAAAATAACAATATCGGTAACAAATGAGCAAGCGAGGAGAGCAGCAAAGGAACAAAGGAGTGGCATCTGAAATCACGACCACCAATATACTTGCCAATCGTGGTAGATCTGACGGGAGAGGCCCATTTCCAGGAGTGGATTTTCACGCACGTAAGAATAAGAAAAGCTCAAGAAGTCGAGAAATGCAAATGAAAGTGTACAGCAAATAGTGAGAGTATCTGTAGAGTGTCATTATAGCTAAAGGAAGAGACCTGGATATCCAGCTTATGCATGGCTACGAGTTGTCGATGATATCCCCGAGAACCTATCTTCCCCATACATAGTCGGTTATTCGAGCTATATGGCCGGCACTTTGTCACTTTAAATTACTGTTCTGTTAAGCTATGTCTATTACACTGGTTCTACTATGGATACCTTCATTACGAATTTATACTTAACTATGTAATAGTATAATGTTAGTATACATTTACCAAATCCATAAGTTAAAGGAATAACTATAAGTAAAAGGACAATTGCACAATGCCTCTCAAAGTGAAGTTTAATGTTTTCAAATAAATTGTAAGAACAGACTTATAAAACATTGGTTTATATTAAATAAGTAGTTTGTAAAAACAAATCGGGATGATTTATTTTCTTAGCCATTTAGTTTGACTCAAGCTCAATGTGCAGCTTTATAAAATATTTTATATAAACGACTGATTGGATATCTAACCATTTATTGTAAATGTATTATAGTTAAAATGGCTATCTTTGCCGCAGTACATATTATATAACACGACTTTAGCGAGGCTTGTGTGTCTAGCCTAGCCGTTAAGGTAGAACAATATAAATTACAGCATTATAAATTTGATAATTGTTATAAATTTTGGAGAATTAACGTTAACCCTATTTTTTCCCGTGACCTTAGGCGATATACACTCTAAGAGTCGTCTGATCTATCTACCACGCTATAATCTTAGTCATTGCTTCACCATCGATACACCAAGAAGAAAAACGCATTAACTGGCTATTTGCAGTTTTTTTTTAGCTTGATTTGATTAAAATTAATTAAATTTATATTTTCACAAACAATAAAATCAACTTTAATGCTGTTTTTCATTAAAAAAGTTTATTAAATAGTAATATTACAAGATGTATAAATATGCTATGTCAAATATTTAAATATTGACGATGTTCAAAACAACTTATTTAGATTATATGCACTTTTATTCAAACTGTAGAAATTCACTATCTTTTCTTTAAGAAAATAGTAGCACTATTGACATGCTAGTATTGTATTAAACTATTACAACTAACTCCTCTATTATTTTAACGAATCAGATAGATACTTGTTCTTTTCCTTCTCCTGGTCATTCTCTGAAGTTGAAAAAATTAAATTTAGGCTTGAAATGTCGCCGGATCTTGCGGAACACCAGTTTGGTTTCCGCAAGAGGCGCTCTACGGTGGACGCCATCATGCGCGTGAGAGCCCTCACGACGGGGGATGCAGTGGCCAGGGGGGGGTTGTTTTGGCGGTGTCTCTCGACATCGCCAACGCCTTCAACTCCATGCCCTGGAGCTGCATTAGGGAGGCACTCCGGTATCACCGGGTGCCGACCTATCTCCGTCGTATAGTCGGGGACTATCTGACGGATAGGGCCGTCATTTACCCCGGTCGCAACGGTGAGTGGAACCGGCGAGAGATGTCGTGCGGTGTCCCACAAGGTTCGGTTCTGGGGCCGCCCCTGTGGAACATCGGTTACGACTGGGTGCTGCGCGCCGACCTCCCTACCGGCGTCAGCGTAGTTTGCTACGCTGACGACACGCTGGTACTGGCACAGGGGGGGTCGTACGAGGCGGCGGCGGAAAATATGACACGCGGGGTTGCGATAGTCGTTGAGAGGATCCGGCAGCTGGGTCTTGAGGTGGCTCTGCACAAGTCCGAGGCCATGCACTTCCATGGTCCTCGGAACAGGCCACCACCGGGATCCTCAGCGATGGTAGGAGGGGTATCCATCGGCGTCGAGTCGACGTTGAAGTACCTAGGACTCGTCCTCGACGGCCGATGGAACTTCGTTGAGCACTTCCGACGTTTGGCTCCCAAACTGGAACGGACCGGGGCTGCCTTCAGGCGGCTCCTGCCGAACCTGAGGGGGCCAAACGCCTCCTGCCGGAGGCTCTACGCGGGGATTGTGCGGTCCATGGCCCTTTACGGGGCCCCGGTGTGGGCGCGTGGTTTGGCGCGGCTTGCCGTTCACCACCTGAACGCGCCCCAAAAGGTGGTTGCCGTAAGAATGGCTCGCGGCTACCGCACGATCTCCCGCGAGGCAGCGTGCCTCCTTGCCGGATTGCCGCCATGGGATCTGGAGGCGATAGTCCTCTCGTGCCTACACGAATGGCGCGCGGAGGCACTATGCCGGGGGGAAACCCCGCTGCCGCGGCAAGTTGTCGTGCAGCGGACAGACTTCCGGCATGATCTCATGGCGACATGGAGAGAGCGACTGTCGCAACCCCGTGCTGGGCACGCCACTATAGCGGCGATAAGACCCCTCTTTGAGGAGTGGCTTGAGAGACGCCACGGCGTCCTCACCTTCCGCCTGACGCAGGTCCTCACCGGACACGGTGTGTTCGGGAGGTTCCTGCACCGAATCGGGCGGGAGGAAACGCCCGGGTGCTCCCACTGCGAGGATCGACCGGAGGACACGGTGGAGCACACCGTGGAGGTGTGCCCTGCCTGGGCGGAGCACCGCCGTGTCCTCGTAGCGGCGATAGGCGGCGGCGACCTCTCGCGTCCGGCCCTGGTCGAAGCCATGGTCCGGAGCGAGACGGAATGGGATGCCGTCACCATCTTCTGCGAAGCAGTGATGCTAGCGAAGGAGGTGGCGGAGCGGGAGAAGGAGAGAGCAGCAGCTTTCCTTCCCGGCCGCCGCGGGAGACGCCCCGGGCGTCGGGGGCTACGTCGTGGCCCCCGGCCACCGTAGGCGCGGGCCTGTGGACGGCGAGCAATGGGTAGCTCGCCGTCCGTCCGTCTAACGACGACAGGCCGTGTCGACGGCGCGTTTTGTTCCACGCGCGCCTCAAAGAGCTGTCAGCAGCGTGAAGGGGCCCGCAAGGGCCGACGCCTGCCGGGGCTGCGGGCTGTTCGAAAGAGATACCGCGGCTCCGGAACGTAAGGGCACTGAAGGAACACGGATGGTTTTAGTCAGTAAAAGTCTGACACTCCCTTCCGCTCCACCCAGAGCGAAAGGCGTCATTTGATGATTTTCCATCCGCAAAAAAAAAAAAAAAAGGCTTGAAATGTCCCACTCTCCGCCCTAGACCCCTAGACCCCCTCTTATTTCTGAGAGGGTTATGGTTAGTGGTGACGGAATTCACCTTCCTCCGACATGCAGAGATAGTTTTTTTGACTGACAAAAATGAATAAAATCACTACTTTAAATTGCAATCAACAATTTGATGGGCGACAGTGGAGATTGAACTCGAGTTATCAGCGTACTATGAAATCAGCCGGAAGCCCTTGGCTACCTTGGTTCTTACTTTGAGAGATTAATGACCAAGAGTCGGACTATAAAAATTCTTCATTAGTTTTTCAGAAAACAAAAAAGTTTCTTGTTGTTTGTTTTGTTCTGTTTCTATTATATTGATTTACTGCCACTGCCGAAAATATTATGTAAAAGTATATTCAAGAGGTAATTTTATTTAACGAAAATATCAATAGTAATATTTGCATGCTTAATATTATTGTATTTTCATCGTGTTATCTGTAATCTATACAAATAAATCAAATTGAAGTGTCTGTTTGTAATGTCGAAATAACAGCTTTTTACTATATGCATATGAAAGTATATACGGTACATATAACCCTTACACGATTTTCAAATTTTTTGTCTGTCTGTCTGTCTTTCTATCTGTCTGTCTTTCTTCTGTCTTTCTGTCTCTCTGTCTGTCTGTCTGTTTGTTCCGGCTAATCTCCGAAGCGGATGAACCGGACTTGCAGATAGCTGATGTTATAAGAAGTAACTTAAGCTACTTTTATTTTAGAAAAAGAATAAGGGTTCCGTGCAAAAAATTAAAACCCATGAAATCCAATCGTAATAAATTACGCGCGGACGAAGTCGCGAGGAACAGCTAGTTTAGAAATAAATCATTATGAAATCCAGTCCGGCCCTATGAGCGAGGTCGAACTCGTTTTACAATCTACGTAGTCGATTCCTGGTAGTTGTTATTGTGATATCGCCGGCTATGGACTTCAATAACAAAGTTGTAATAATAACCGGCGCCAGCGCTGGTATTGGGGCCGATGCAGCAATTTTATTTGCAAAACAATCTGCTAAAGTTGTTTTAGTGGGAAGAAATGAGACGGCGCTGTTAGATGTTGCAAAGAAATGCGAAGATATTAAAGGAATTAAACCTTTAACTGTCAGAGCGGAACTTACTGACGATGAAGATGTAAAAAAAATAGTTGATAAAACTATTGAACACTTTGGGCGTATAGATATCCTTGTGAATAATGCCGGTGTTGGATTCCACGGTGGTATTCGGGATGGTGTAGAAATATTTGACCGCGCTATGGCAACTAATGTTCGTCCTGCTTATTTGTTGACTAGTCTAGCTACACCTTACCTCGTCCAATTTAAGGGGAATATCATTAATGTGTCAAGTGTTGCCGCCTTTAAACCAATAAAAGATATTGCATTTTTGCCATATTGTATGTCAAAAGCCGCGCTCGATCAGTTCACAAGGTGTGTTGCTTTAGAATTAGGACGAGATGGTGTTCGAGTAAACTCAGTGAATCCAGGCGGTACAAAGACTAATTTTGTAGAAACTGCAGGATTTAGTAAAGAACAAATTGAAAAATTATATGAAACACGAGAACAAACTTATCCGCTTCGCAAAATGGCGAAAAGTGAAGAGGTCGCTGACCTAATTTTATATCTTGCGAGTGATCGTGCTGATAGTATAACAGGCGCTACTTTCGTGATAGATAACGGCGAAACGCTAATGTAAATATTACTCTTGGTTGTAAATTGTCGGCCTCAGAGTCATAACGTGGTTTTTTAAATTAAACATTTTATTAGGTGTATGCATTACAATGTTTTATTTTGTTAAGTTACTTCCTCGGATATATTCATAAATGAATAAAATTATAGTTATAATGAAAACTAATTTATGTTTTTTTTTTATTTCACATGATTTATATGTAGTTATAAATGAATACAGGTTTTAAATTAAACAGGTTCTTTGCTAATTATCTTTGTTTTTGTGTGCGTTAAAATTAGTATAGCAAATTTTTAATTGTGTTGTTGATATTGAATGTAATAACAATTGTGATATATGTTGTTATATTTATATCATATTTTCAGTCTAGAATCTAATGTTTACATGATGATGAACCTAGAAAGATGACCGAGCTTTTACTTTTTTCAAAAAGTGTACAATTTAGAACAAATATTACACATTATAAAAATACAGCAGTTCATTTACATTCATAATGATATATTTCATACATAATGATGACCATGGTTGCTACCTTGCCAGTTCCGACTACGATGACAGATTTCCGTTATATCCGCCAACTATCAATTATGCACTGGATATATAGTACCGCAATAGTATGCACAATAACATAGAGACAGTTACTTTGCAGACCCAGATACCACAAGGTAATTATACTCATCATGGAAACATTATAAAGGTTTTTTTTATAGGATAGGGTGACAAACGAGCACACAGTCCACCTGATGGTAAGTGGTTGCTGTGGCCCATAGACATCTACATTTATCCCCGTTTGCGAATCAAAATGCAGATGCGTTGTCACCCCTGAGGACTAAGATGGAATGCCTCTTTTCCAGTGAATAGGATCTCCGGTTCTCTACACTCACCATACAAAAACCAGAAGTGTTAAGTTGTTATTTTACGCTGGTATTCTGTGAGAGCGTGGTCCTCCCCCGGTCGAGCTTACCCATTCGTGCTATAACTATACTACTAATATAGCTGCAGCATGGCTCTACCACGTATAAAATTTTGCCATATTTATATATTATGTTGTCATATTCAAACTTAGTTTCCTAAACATTCTAGTTTGGTTAAAAACGTACAAAAATTAAATCATAATGAAATGTTTACAAAGAATATGTTTAATGTCTTCTTGAAAATAAATGCTTAATTTAAATATTATATTCAAAATAATTATTATAAAATATATATTTTCTTCACCAAAACCATATTGTTATAGGAGTTTCAACAATAGTAATATTAGGTGAAAAATCTACATATACAAAAATTTAAGACATCACAAAGACTACTTAGAAATCAGTTTGAACTAAGTTAAAAAGTTAAAGTTACAGCCTATTTGCGTCCCACAGCTGGGTACAGCCCACTTTTCACCTTTAAGAGATGGTTTTAGGGTTTTTATTCACAAGCTTTCGAAATATTTTTTTTATTTCTCATACATACAGGTTTCCTCGCGATGTTTTCCTGCACAAGCACGTTGTGAATCAGCACTTAAAATTGCAATTAACAACTTCATTGGTGTCGGCGAGGATCGAACCCGGGTTGTTCGTGTACTGTGTTATTTACTGCGAGCACTAAGCCGCTGAGTGCCATTTTATAAATCAAACTTCTAAAAAAAGTACAAACCGATTTCAAAGAATATAAAGGAATAAAATTATTCCCACTTAATAGCTGCTAAGAAATATTTAGAACAAGCTCAAGATATGACTACACTATTTTAAATATAGTAAGAAGAAGTAGGAGGGAATATAATAGTTACTAATATTCCATTTATAATTGGTGTTTGAAGAAAATCTCTCAAGAAATGAAATCCTTTTTAACCGACTTCAAAATGGAGAAGGTACTCAATTTGACTGCATGTTTTTTATGTGTGTTACCTGATAACTTTTGTCTAGGTGAACCGATTTCGATGATTCTTTTTTTATTTGAAAGCTGGTACTTTTCACGTTGTCTCATATAAATTTGATCAAGGTCTGACCAGTAGTTTTTTAAGTTATCCTTAATAATTTATATACAAGTCGGTTGTACAACATTTTTAATTTTATTACTTGTATATACGATATATATATACCTCCATAAAATGATTTACTCTTGTAGAGTGTTTCTTATCGTATTATTTGCATAAGTAGCACTTGAAAAAAAATTTAGACCTGGGATAGTTATTTGTAGGACATAATATAAACATTTATTCCGTGCGAGGTTTAAACCCGCGTCCTTGTTGTATCGCAACCAAACGCTTAACGACTGAGCTACCTAGTCGTTTTTACTGTTGTACAAATCTTCACTAAATGAGTAAAACACACTTTAAAAAGTTTTGATGGCTCGACCGGGAAAGGACCACGCTCTCATAGAATACCAGCGTAAAATGGCAGCTTGACACTACTATGTTTCGTATGGTGAGTGTAGAGAACCAGAGACCCATTTTACTAGAAAAGAGGCATTCCATCTTAGTCCTCACGGTTGACGACGCATCTGCATTTTGATTCTTTATTGAGGATAAATGTCTATCATCATCATCATTAGAGCCCTTCACAAATCCACTGCTGAACATAGGCCTCCCCCAAGGAATGCCACAAAGCACGTTCCTGAGCCACCTGCATCCATCGACTTCCTACACATCTCACCAGGTCGTCACTCCATCTAGTGGGGGGACGCCCAACACTTCGCCTGCCGGTACGAGGCTGCTACTCGAGAACCTTTTTTCCCCATCGATTGTCGGTTCTTCGAGCTATATAGCCGGCCCATTGCCACTTCAGCTTACTAATCCGTTGGGCAATGTCGGTCACTCTGGTTCTACTGCGGATATCCTCAGTTCTGAGTTTATCAGGCAGAGAAACTCCGAGCATAGCCCTCTCCATAGCTCGCTGAGCGACCTTGAGCTTCCTCATACGGCCAGCAGTGAAGGACCACGTCTCAGTTCCGTATGTCATCACTGGCAACATGCACTGGGTGTACAGACTCGGTTTTCAAGTTTTGAGGTATACCTGACGAGAAGATGTGCTGTAATTTCCCGAACGCTGCCCAACCGAGTTGAATCCGTCGATTGACCTCTCGGTCGAAGTTGGACTTACCTAGTCGGACTATTTGTCCCAGGTAAACATACCCGTCAACAACTTCGAGCTTAGTGTTCCCAACAACTACCGGCATAGGTGTGACATGGACATTAAACATGATCTTTGTTTTGTCCATGTTCATCTTAAGACCTATCCGTTGGGAAGCACTATTGAGATCATTGAGCATAGTGCTTAGGTCCTCCAGCGATTCTGCCATAAGGACTCTATCGTCGGCAAATCGAAGGTGAGTGATGTACTCGCCATTGATGTTGATACCGTATCCTTTCCAGTCCAGAAGCTTGAAAACGTCTTCCAATGCAGCGAGGAAGGGGATATGACGTCACCCTGTCTTACACGTCTCTGCAATTGGATAGGTTTCGTACTCTGGTTCTGTACTCGGATAGCCATCGTAGCCCTACTGTACAAGCACTTCAGCACTTCGATATACCGACAGTCAACTTGGCACCGCTGAAGGGACTGCAGCACCGCCCAAATTTCGACGGAATCAAAGGCTTTCTCATAGTCCACATACGCCAGACATAGTGGCAAATTGTACTCCTCTGACTTCTGTACAATTTGCCGAAGGGTATGTATGTGGTCTATGGTATTAAAGCCTTTTCGGAAACCGGCTTGTTCGGGAGGCTGGAAGTCGTCAAGTCTGCGCGCGAGACGATTCGTAATGACTCTCGAAAACAGCACGTAGACGTGGCTCAGAAGGGAAATCCGTCTGTAGTTCTTTAAGAGAGCGTTGTCGCCTTTCTTGAAGAACAAGACCACCGCACTTCTGCTCCACGCCTCCAGTGTAATGCCACCATGGAGGACGGAATTAAAGAGCTTCTGAAGGACTTCAAGTACCGGTTCTCCACCCGCTTTCAGAAGCTCCACCGTAATTCCATCCTCGCCTGGGGCCTTGCCGTTTTTAAGGTGCTGGAGAGCCATTCTAATCTCACTCAGACTGACGTCCGGGATATCATCGGAATAATGTCGGATAAGACTCGCTCTTGGATCGTTACTCACACTTGCGTGTGGCTACAACAATGACGTGTACAGCTGCCCATAGAACCTCTCAATCTCACTCAAAATCTCAGGTGCCCCGGAAACGATGCTGCCACATTCTGTCTTCAGCTTTGACAGTTGGATCTTTCTGGCAGACAGATCTCTGGCAAAGACTTTTGAACCTTGGTTCCGCTCGATCGCTTCTTCAATACGAGTTGTATTGAAGTTGCGTAAGTCCCGCCGCATGCATTTGGATATCTGTCTGTTCAGTTGCCTGTATGCTGTCAAATCTGTTGAAGAATGTAGCTTCATCTCCCATCTAACATTCATGAGATTAAGAATGTGATCGGAGAGTTTTAGTGTTCTTCTGCGGCGGGTCTTGCAGAACTTAGCTTCGACCGCATGGACAGTTTCCACTTACCCATGAGATCGATGCATCTTAGCCAACGCAGTGGCACTTTATTGATCTTTATTGATCTTTTATTTGTCACTTGATTGACTTCTTCAAGAAATCAGCTGGACAGGAGGCAACAAATTCTTCAATGGCTATTTGTACTGCCTCTCGGATATTGAATTCTTTCCGCGCCAAAAAGTAATCCAAATTCAGGAAAAAATGAAAGGCTGTAGGCGCAAAGTCTGGTCATTAGTGATGGAGAGCTTTCAACCAAAGCTTTTGTAACTTGGAGACGGTCTGTTGTGCAGTATGAGGTCGCGAGATATCATGCAGGAGCAGCGGAGACAAGCGATTGACCAAAGCTGGTTGGAGACGTGCGAGCTTCTCCATCATTGTGTTCACTTCTTCACAGTACATATCTGCAGTAATGCTCATCCTGTTTGGTAAGAAGCTGTGATGAATTACACCAGTACTAAACCATCAGCATTCCATGCAGCAACCGTGAGCATCACTTTTCATTGGGATAAGTTTGCTTTTAAGGCATTGTTTAA